ACGGACCGCCACGAAGCCGGCCGCTCCAGCCAGCCTACACCACAAGCTGTATCTCTCCTCTCTCTCTCTCTCTCTCTTCCTCCTGCTTAGGTGCAGGTCATGCTTGGTGCTGGCAGGACGCAGATGCGGCGGGTTGCGGGCATGGGCCTGCCCTGGCTCCGCTCGGCTGCCTACTCGTCGTCGTTGTCGTTGTCATCGTCTGGAGTTAGCGAGGCGGCGGCTTCGGCGACATCGGCGACATCGGCGACATCGGCGGTATCAGCGGCTCTGGCGAGTCTGGCGGCGCGGAATGAGGTGTATCGGGCGCTGGCCGAGGGGACAGGGCGGGTGTCTGCAGTGGGTGCAGCTGATGAACAGAGCGTTCTGGCGCTGATGCCGAGGGTGGCGGAAATGTATGCGGATCGAAAGTGGCTGGGGCAGGCCGAGCCGAGCGAGGTGGTGGTGGCAGTGGAGGGCGGGGATGGGGCGTTGTACGATGTGATGACCCCGCTTCCCGAGGCGTTGGCCGAGGCTGTGGTCTGCGGCGAGGGCAAGATGGTTGTGCTCGGATCGGACGCCGGGCGCAAGGTCTTGTGGCACTCGAGTGCGCACGTGCTGGGCGCGGCGCTCGAGCGGGTGCTGGCCAAGCAGCGTGGCCTGGCGGTCCATCTGCGGTCGGGCCCTGCGTTGGCGGACAATGCCGGACCTGCAGGCGGCGGCGGGTTCTTCTACGAGTACGAGGTTGACGGCGGGCACGGGGCGGTGGCCGAGGCCGAGTTTGGGGCGGTGACCAAGGAAATGGGCCGAGTCCTCCGCGAGGGCGGCGCATTCGAGCGGCTGGAGGTGAGCGCGAGCGAGGCCAAGGCCCTTTTTGCCGGCTCGCCGGCCAAGCTTGCGCGGATCGACGAGCTTGCGTCGGGCGGGGCGCAGCTGGCGGTGTACGCCAACGGGAGCTTTGTGGACTTGTGCGCTGGACCGCACCTCCCGCTGGTCTCGCTGATCAAGTCCCCTCTGGTGACGGCGTCGTCGGGGGTCAATTCTGGCGCGTTTCGGGTTTACGGGCGGTCGTTTGCGGCGAGCAGCGAGAAGAAGGCGTGGCGTGCGCGGCTGGACGAGGCGGCGCGGCGCGACCACCGCAAGATTGGGGCTGCGCAGGAGCTGTGGATGTTCCATCCGCACACGCCGGGCTCGCCATTCCTCCTCCCTCACGGGGTGCGGATCTTCAACGCGCTAGTGGAGCGGATCCGGCGGGAGTACGTGGCGCGCGGGTACGACGAGGTCTCGTCGCCGCTGCTGTGCAAGAAGGAGCTGTTTGAGGTGTCTGGCCACTGGGACAAGTACTCGTCGGACATGTACAAGGTGTCTGCGCTGGCACCGGCCGACCAAGGTGGTGACGACGAGGCATCGGCCGAGCAGTTTGGCCTAAAGCCGATGAACTGCCCCGGCCACTGCCTCATTTTCGACGGCAAGGTGCGGTCGTACCGTGAGCTGCCGCTGCGGATGGCGGACTTTTCGCCGCTCCACCGCAACGAGGTCGCCGGCGCTCTGTCGGGCCTGACCCGGGTCCGGCGGTTTACGCAAGACGATGCGCACATCTTCTGCACAAGCGAGCAGGTGCAGGGCGAGATTGCGGACACGCTCGACTTTATCAACTCGCTCTACGGCGAGCTGGGCTTTGGCATCTCTGTCGAGGTCTCGACGCGGCCGGAGAACGCAATCGGCGACGACGCGACGTGGGAGGCCGCTGAGGCCTCGCTGCACGCGGCGGTGGCGGCTGCCGGCGTGGAGGCCGGGGTCAAGGAGGGCGACGGCGCGTTCTACGGACCCAAGATCGATGTGTCTGTGGCGGACGCGCTAGGGCGGAGCCACCAGTGCGCGACGGTGCAGCTTGACTTTAACCTGCCGGCGCGGTTTGGCCTGCAGTACCGAACCGCCGACGGCGGGAGTGCGCAGCCAATCATGATCCACCGGGCAGTGCTCGGCTCTGTTGAGCGGTTCATGGCGATTCTCGCGGAGCACACCGGCGGGGCGTGGCCCGTCTGGTGCTCACCACGGCAGGTGTTTGTGGCGGCGACAGCAGATGGGGCGCCCTCGGCGCGGGCGGCAGAGATTGTGGCTGCGCTGCGCGCTGCTGGAGTCCATGCCGAGATGGCGCGTGGCGGCTCGCTTGGCAAGCAGATCCGCGAGGCCAAGAAGTTGCAGTTTAACTACGTGGGTGTGGTCGGGCCGGCCGAAGTTGAGGCCGGCAACGTGGCGATCAACGAGCGCGGAGTCGATGGCGCGCCTGTGGCGATGACCGTGGATGAGATCGTTAGCGCGGTTCGCGAGTGACGCTGTAGAGTGTTGAGTGCTGTTCATTGCACCGCCCATGATGAGATTCATCGAACCGGCAGAGGTTAGAGGACAGCACAGCCGTTGGTCATGCGCCAGTCAAAGTACTGGACGTTCATGGAGAGGAGGAGGAGGTTGTTGAAGGCGACGGCGATATGCATGAGCTGGTGCGAGTGGAGCCAGGTGTTGAAGCGGCCCGGGAAGAGGCGCTCGGGGAGCTGGCAGGTGTAGATGACGGCGGTGACGGCGACGACTGCGCCGACAATAGGGAACTTGGACCAAAAGAAGGCCTTCTCATCAGAGTAGAAGGAGCCGGTGATGAGGTAGTGGTGGACGTACGGAGCGACGGTGGAGAGCGAGACGAGCGACATGAGGGCGCCGCGGAAGTGGAGGGCGTACGGGTTGGCCTCGGCGTTGAAGCGCGAGTTGAGGGCGGCAACCATGAGGACGCCGACGCCAAGCAGTGCGGCCTGATAGGTGACGATGAGGTCCGGGAAGCAGTAGAGGTGCGGGTAGACCGAGCCGATGGCGGCGCCCATAAAGCCGAGCGCGATGCCGAGGTAGTCCATGTCTAGGGTGCAGCGCCAGGCGGCAAACGAGTGGGCATTGAAAACGTGGTAGATGGTTGAGAAGAGGAAGCATGCCGAGGAGCCAAGAGCAAAGACAGCAAACGATGTCCGCGGATGGACGAGGAACGAGTGCTCGGGCGCATCGGGATGGGGCCGGGCATCGAACCGCGTGACGTTGACAGCCAAGTTCACGAGGAAGACACCATAGAAGAGCAGCGGGAGGAGATGCGACCAGATGTTGCCCGTCTCATTATGGACATGGACCATCGATGCCACACACTCGCTCATACTCAGAAACCGCCGTCCGGGCGCGCCAGCACGATAGCCATGGGTGATGAACCGGTTGCACTGGAGGTAAGCCGGCGCCTCACTGAACGCCGCCGTCCGGGTACCGGCATGGACTGGATGGGGAGAGGAGTGAGTGAGTGAGAGAAAGAGGGAATCGGTGTGTGTGTGTGTGTGTGTGTGTGTGTGTGTGTGTGTGTGTGTGTGTGTGTGTGTGTGTGTGTGTGTA